AGGCTTACAGTCAACATTTACTGACAAGCAGGCAATAAATTACATTGCTGGAGCCATCGGTGTCAACATCTTGGCATTGTTTGGGTCCTCTTGCCTGCCTTTCAAGTGACACCCACTCGGGGTCTCACACGCACACAAGCAAAAGCAAGAACCCCTGGCTATTGTCTGTAGAGGTTATCGTCTCGCAACGTCTCTTCAGATGCCCCTCTTGTGTATACAGCTCAGGATTTAATTGGTGGTTTGACCATGTGACTAATTTTGCATAAGGTGTTTTCTCCACTTGCTGCTTTCAATCACTGCCCAGCCAAATGCATTAGTTTGGGATCAGGAGTGCCTCCATTTTGCCTGAGGCAGGGCCAGAGGGGCAGTCTGCCAGGAGTCTGAAGGAAACTTTTAGGACTGGATCCTTAGCTGGTGTAAATTAACATAACGCCATTGACTTCAATTATACTGATTTACAGCAGGTGCGGCTATGTTCCGTGCTGTGTGAAACTGACCAGAATGTTGCATTCTGTCCCCCTCTTTAATAGGGAAGTAGGACTCTTGCAGATCACAGCTCAGAACACCAGTTCTCCATCTTCATAGGAGCACTTGGGTCAAGATCATAGAATCATAGAATATCAGGGTTGGAAGAGACCTCAGGAAGTCATCTAGTCCAACCCCCTGCTCAAAGCAGGACCAACACCAACTAAATCATCCCAGCCAGGGCTTTGTCAAGCTGGGCCTTAAAAACCTCTAAGGACAGAGATTCCACCACCTCCCTAGGTAACCCATTGCAGTGCTTCACCACCCTCCTAGTGAAGTAGTGTTTCCTAATATCCAAGATAGAGCGTAGCGTGTTGGGAATCAGTGTCAGTGGGTCATTGATCTAATCCTATCCACCAAACTTTGGCCGCCCCTTTGTTTGCAGTTTATCCAAGCTGCAGTGAAGACCGTCTCATCTTCTGGCAAGTGAAGGAGAAGGTGAACTTGCAGGATTGGTACAACTCATCAGGTGAACTCTTCCTCCATTGCCAGGGGGAAGACGGAATCAATGGAAGCTCATGCCATTGAGTCAGTGGGCAATGTCACGAATGGTGAAGTACAAAACAGTGTTGTGGGGCAGAAGATATTTTTCTGAACACGATCGGCCAGGGCTGAGGTCAAGGGAGTTGGGCTGGTGTTAAGGAGAGCAAAAGCTCACCAAAGATTTCTGGGGAGAGGATAGTGGTGAGGAACTGCGAGCTAGCCAGATCCATGGTGCCTATCTAAGGATCAAATTCTGACTTGGTGCAACGCCAGTGACTTCGGATGCCATACACCTGCTCACACCAGAGCTCAAGCTGATGCAGAAACTGCAGTGCCATCAGAAAGCCTCTTTCAGCCCAAGAGGCGGCGAAGCGGCAGGAGAGGGAGCGGAAGGCAGCATCGTAAGTGTTTTTAAATGAATATAGACCAATACCCATGAAAAGTGGGGGAGCTGCAAACAAGGGAATCAGGAATGGGAAGGCGTGTCTGGTTTTCATAACTCCATCTCGGAGCATGAGAGGAGGTGGGATCAATGACTGTGAGTGAGAAAGGGCTCACGTGAGGGCGAGTGAGTGTGGGTGCGCGTGCAGGCGTATGCATGAGTAAAATGGTGAGGTCTGAGACTCTCACAGGAAGGCGGATGAGAAGCCCTGATAGAGCACTTTAAAACAGCTCAGTGGGCCTGGCCCTCCTCTCTCGCACATGAGGTTTACATCAGTCTGAGGCCATGGAGCTGAGTGAAATTGCCACTAGCTCATACTACTGCAAGTGAGCAGAGGAGTCAGCCCACTGAAAGGGGAACTCTTTGGCCCAGTCTGTGATCTGAGTGAAACCAATCAAAAAAGCCTAAAGCCTCTTGTGAGCCACACCCTACTTTTACTGAGCCTCCGGGATCAGTCGGGGTCAGCCTGAGAGGCAACAGAAAAAAACTCTTGATTCTGAAATTGGACCAAAGCCCAACCATTAGAAACTCCATCCAGAGACGACCCATGCCTGCCGATGGAGGGAGGCCGGGGGGAAGGCAGAGTGAGGGCAGCTGGCTTCGGCGGTGTTACTGAGCATGCTCAGTACAAACCAACCAGCAAATCAGGAGGGGGCACGTAACCCAGCATAGTCTATCTCCCCTCCCTCCTATCGCCTCCTACTCCAACACAAAATGAATGATGCTTTGGGCCTATTGCACTTGAAAGCAGAGACCCAGGGATAGCTCACCACCACTACTTGCTCCTCTGCAGATATAGTAAAACCATGGAAAGATAGACTGGAGAATCAGATCCCCAGCAGGGATCAGGGCTTAGAAAGACACCAGCTCCCCAGACAGGTGAAAGCACTATTGACTGGCGGGGACCAATGAGCAGGGAAAATTTGGGGAGGCCCGTCAGGCATTTATCTCAATAGTGTCCACTGTGTTTAATGCCAAGCCCAGCAAAGCGCTAAGAGCTTGAGGGCCACATCAGTAGGTGTAAATCAGAGCAGATGCACTGTTGTCGAGGGAGCTGCACAGGTTCACAGCAGCTGAGTTTGTCACCCAGACTGTCTGTTTGGAGCATATTCTTAACTCACTGTAACAAAGGAGTGTTACAAAGGGGGAAAGTGTCTCTTCCAGCCACTTTGCAGCACCGAAGTTTCACCTGATCCAAGAAGCTAATAAGACTTTTGAGTTAAACTAAAACAAACGGCAAAATATTCTTCATTTAGGATTTTAGATAAAAGGCTGGATTGAAATCTGTAGTCTCTTTAAATGACAGCTAAGGGCAAAGCCAATGTAAGCCTGCAGCTATTTAGCTTCCTAGAGGGAATGAGTTTTTATGTCACTTTTGAAGTTAAGCAAAGTTGAAAGGGGACTAATGTTCCCCAAGTTGCTTGGAGCATCTGCTTTCTCTCTAACCAGGATTAAATGGAGGAAAAGTTCCACGCTCCATTTCAGATGAGACATGATTTGATGCCAGATCTCACTCTCCCCGGATTGTATTTATCCTGTTGTTTATAATAAAAATCGAGTGATCCATTTCTTCTGACAGGAGGAAGAGCGGCTTCAGGAAGCCTTGTACCAGTCTGTGTCTATATTAAGGGACTATTGCTTGACAGCTTCCTGACCATAAATAGCTATCCAGCTAGGCAGAGTTTTAATTTAGATGTGAGAAATAAGAGAGTCTGGAAAAGTAATTTTATGACGTTACTCAACTTCTGCTCCCCCCCTTTTTTTTTGCTTTTCAAAAATGGGGTGTCTCTGATCACGCTCCCCCCCCCCCCCCCCCAGCACTGACTCTATTCCACCTGAGCTCACCCCCAACCAAGCACATCCCCTGTGTTCACAAAAGCTGCAAAGGGAAGTTAGGCAGCTCCCAGGTGCTAAGTGCATTACAAGTGTCACAGAGGAGGCCAACCTGAGCTGGAGAAGGAGCCAGAATTTACAATGTACATTGCCAAAGAGCCACAGTAATATGTCAGCAGCCCCCCATCAGCTCCCCCCCCCCACCCGCTCCCAGTGCCTCCCGTCCACTGGCAGCCCCGCCGATCAGCACCTCCGCCGATCAGCACCTCCTCCTCCCTCCCCGCACCTCCCGATCAGCTGTTTTGTGGAGTGCAGGAGGCTCTGGGGGCGAGTGGGAGGAGCGAGGGCATAGCAGGCTCAATGGAGGGGGCGGGAAGGGGTGGAGTGGGGGCAGAGCCTGTGGCAGAGCCAGGGGTTGAGCAGTGAACACCCCTCGGCACATTGGAAGGTTGGTGCCTGTAGCTCCAGCCCCGGAGTTGGTGCCTGTACAAGGAGCCGCGTATTAACTTCTGAAGAGCCGCATGTGGCTTCGGAGCCACAGGTTGGCCAGCCCTGGACCAGAGAGCTCAAAGGGCTCTTCCCTCACTCCTCTCCCCAGGGCCTTGTGGAGGCTGCTCTGGCAAGGCAACTGTAGGGGGCAAAGGGAGGCGATGCACTGGGGTGAATGTCACTATGTAGCTCCCTACCACCTCCATGAGGCCCCACCAACGTCATTTCCATGGGTTCATGGCAATTTGACTTGTCTTGCTGTTGCACAATCAAGGGGAATCGAGAACCCTATGTGATAAGACCACCTGATCTAAGAAGCTGATCCAAAAGCACATGCAAGCCAATGGAAAGGGCTCCCACTGAAGTCAAGGGCAGTCTTTCATTAACGTCAATGCACCTGTAACTGCATGGGTTCTCCATTGCTGGCAGGAGTAAAGAGTAGGAACAATTTATTTTCTCCCTAAAGTAATAAGTTATGACTCAGGATGCACACCGAAAATAGACCTGTTGTAGACCAGGCCGCCATTTTACAGAGCCAGTTCCCAGACCATAATCCCAGCTCTGAGTTCTCCGACAGAGGAGTCTGTAAGCCCTGCCCGTGCTGCAGCGAAAAGCTCGAAAATGTGAACTCTAAACATTCCAACACCAGAAGGCAAACAAAAAGAGCCACACATGTATTAGGTTTTTTTTTTTTTTTTTTTTTAAATCTCATGAATTTAAGCCGATCTCATGATTTTTAGGGGCTTTGCTTGTGATTTTTGAATGCTTGGAGTTAGCAACACTGGAAACGACAACAAAATAACCCAAAAGAAAAAGGACATTTCAAGATTTTTTTTATTATTATCGGAATCTTTTTTGACCATTTTTGTCACATGGTTTGCCTAAAAAGAAAAAGAAATTCTTTCTTTGGAGATAGAACTGGAAGAGCAGCGTGTTTATCTCATGGATGACTTGTGGGATCAGTGTTGAGAGAGTAAATGCTTCAGAAGCTAACACGCTATAGAGATGATTGTTTTTAATATAAAACAGTATATGTTTAAAACAACAGGGTCTTTTTTTCCTTTCCTGCCGTGGCCAGTAAACATAAGGAGGCAACACGGTTTACGTGTTAATAGAATTAAATTACCTGGTGCCATATTATCACAGTCTTTATTGGACAGTGGAAGAAATTGCACACAGAGGAGTCATAGAAGGGAGAAATAATCGTGAATAAACATAGATTCTGGGATGTATTTATTTGTTTCGTCTCGGGAAGATAAAGGATTCCTCATGAAAAGAGAGACATCCCCATTTCTTTTGCTTTGGGGAGGCGTCTCCAGAGTGAAAGCTTTTAGAGGAGTGAGTACCACCGAACCAGTCAGTCAGGAAGAATGAACTTGGCCAAGTACAGCCAACATTTTCTAAGCTTTCACTCATAGCTTCCGAGAGAAATCTGTCTTTGAACATAGAATCATATATTGACTACTTGAAACCTTTCAGTCCCAAAGCTCTAAGGCAGCCATTCCTTTTGCCTGTTATCCATTAGCGGGGAAGGTAGAAAGGTTGGTCCAAAGTGTTTTATTGGAAGCCTCGTTTCTAGGCCAATGCCAGTGCACACCAAGAGTCCTGACGGAGGGGAATGCTTAGTCCTGACTGTTGAGTCATGGTAGCAGAAGTGAAGGCGTAATCCTCAGGTTCAAATTTGAACTCGGAATGGCCACTGGCCAATGTGTCATCCGATTGGCTTTGAGCCTATGAAGATTATGATAAGGAGAAATTATTATAATGCCACTGATGTATTTTAATATATATTGAAAGCAGCAGTTTCAAAATGAGAACATTGAGTTACAGTTACTTTTATTTATTTATATTTGTCTTCGATCAGTGATGCAATAATCTAGCTCTAAAATCATCTAGCTAATCACTTAGGATGGGATTTCCAAAGAAACTTAAGGGAATTGGGTGTCTGACTTCCATCGAAACGAAATGGGAATTCGGTGCCTATCTTCCTTAGGCTCAATTGAAAACCCCAGCAATTTAGCTGACACTGTTCCAATTTGGAATTAAGGGGATGTAAGATAAACCCATTACTCGCACCATGTCATTAGCAAAAGAATAGTCAGATTTGTCATAATTTAATAGTATGAATATGACAGATCATGAATATGATAGATTAGACCCTATCAGAATTGTATGCTCAAGAGAACCCCGGAACTAGACAAGAGGATTGCTTCATTCTAAGACTAAAGTGCCTTAGCAGAGCTCTCTGGAAGAAGCCTGTGATATAACTGGCTCTACTGATTGACTGATTGATTGATTGTGTCCAGTTCAGAGATCTTTGGGCACATGTATGTTCTTTATAATCATAACACCAATGAAATTTATCAAAGTCAACCAAGAACCTCTACTACAAACTAGAGAGGGCACCAAGTCCTGCAGTTGGGATCTCAGTCGGAACTTCCCTTAAGTTCAGACATGTTCAGATTCAGGGGCTTGGTTAGACCCAATATAAAGATGATGCACAGTCAGAATGTTTTGATTTAGAGCCATCTCTTCCACCAGAGAAACAAAGCACCAATCCATGCACCCAATGCAACCCATTCAGACAAACTCGTGAGACAGGAAATGGGTCTGACACCCAATGATCTCTAGAGAACACTCTGTGCTGCACTTTCATGAGTGTTAAATTCACTTCTAATTGCCAGCAGAATAATAAAGAAAACTCCATACAGGTAAGTATATACCTGTCTGACTAGAAAGCTGTCAAGAACTCAGCAAGTTCCTAATCTCACTTACACTGGTTTTCCATTGACTCCATTGTGTTATTCCTGATTTACAATGGAGCAAGAATAGAATCAAGCCCAGCTACCTAGCTTAGTGGTTTGAGCATTAGCCTGCTAAACCCAGGGTTATGAGTTTAATTCTTGGGGGGGGGGGCATTTAGGGATCTGGTGCAAAAATCTGTCTGGGGATTGGTCCTGCTTTGAGCAGCGGGTTGGACTCAATGACCTCCTGACGTCCCTCTTCCAACCCTGAAATTCTACCTAGCCATAACTCCCATTGCCATCAATGAGAGTTGAAGCTGTGTACCAGGTAGAACTGGACTCTGTGCCAACTATAAAACTTGTGGCGACCCTTGATATCTGTGCCTAATAGTTTCCAGAGCAAAAGGTGTGTTTATGGGTTAGAAGATAGCTTGAGGTGTGGATGGGAGAGTCTAATTATGAAACTGGCTTGTTATAGCAACAGACAATTAAACTACTTAGTCCTGTACCAGCTAGTCAAAAAATCAATGTGAACAAATACTCTCTGTTCTCAAGCTTTACCTGGGAGACTGACACTATGGTTTGTCCGGGGTACTGTGATGTCACGTTGGATTCGGTTTTTAAAGTGACGGTGCTGTCTGAGTTTGTAATGGAAGAAGGGGAGTTAGTGGCTGAAGTTGTAGACCCTGAAAGAGAACCGTTACAAGTTGATAAAGTAACATACACATAAGTCAGTTCTCAAAGAAACAGTCATTTATATTTTAATAGCTGCCTGGACTTTTTAGGGGCGAATCTCCTATCTCATGGCATTATTGTAGCATGACAGTACTTTTTGTGTGGTAGTTTGTTTGTTTCTCAGGTAAAACATGGCAAAAACAAAACTGATTGGTAAGTGACACGCTAGAGGTACTGTACTTGGGAGGGAGGAAGGCATGTGATAGACATGAACATTATTCTTCCTGGGTGGTCCTTCCTGTCAGAGCCCTGAGAAGAGTCCACTCATTTGCTCCCCACCTTAACACCCATCAAACTAAAGGCCCCACATCATGGCTCTCATCATGCATTTGACTAAAGAGGGCTGGAACGGTTTCAGAGTCCAGCAGCCCCGCTCTTAACCAGCAAGAGGGTTGCTGCTGAGGGCGACATGAGGCACTCCCCTCACTGGCTCAGCAGACCATCTGAGGCATTCCCAGCCCCTGCCTTTCCCTTTTACACCAGTCACACCCTTGCTGCTGAAGCTGCTATTCAGGAGCCCTTTGCCCACCCTGGCGTGCAGCATGGAGGAGTATAGCAGCAAAGCGAAATCGACAAGATCTCTCTCAAGTGCTTCTGAGGGGAATTTTTTAAATCATCTCTTAACCTTTCCTAGCTCCCTCTGCCCCAGCAACTCTTGACAATACCCAGCTGCCCTACTGCTCCCACCCCTATAGACACCATCCATCCAACAGCAAGGGATACAGTGACTGCATGTTTCTTCTAAAATGCCCAGCAGTGAGATAGCTAACAGCACTGCTATTTACATCGCCAACATGAGTGGACACCCCATTGAGAAGAATGGTACTCTTGTTTGAGGCTCAGGAAAACAACATTGCATCAGCTCGCATCTGGAGGATTTTTTCCCCGGTCATAAAGACTAAAAGACACTTTTTTTTTCTTGTAGGAAAGATTAGATTCTGCAGGCATATTCCTGTAGCAGGAATTAATTTTTTAGCCAATTCCACAGCTGTAGAATCACTGACAACATTAGGCCCTGCTTATGGTCTAAGCCAGAGGGAGGAATAATAAAAGAACCATACCTGTCGAGGTTTTGCCTTTGGTAATGTTTTTAGGCTTCCTTTTCCTTGTCTGGATGCTTTCCTTTTTCATTGCCAGAGGTCGTGGCACCTTGACACCCACAAAATTTGGAATCATTAATATTGTATTGTACTGAGCTCTACCACGTGTGTTGCTTTTATATTTACACACTGTAGCATGTGCAAAGACCTTGTCCTTCACTAAGTGCTATTTTTCTCCACAACAGGCCTTGGCTGGAAGATGTCTAAGGCTGAACAGTTGAGGCTTTCCCACAATTTTTGTTTTTTTTCCCATTATTTCCTATTTTCCTTTTTCTGATTTATTAGTGACCTTTGCAACTATGTCTTATTAAATTACACCAGGGTGTGGGGCACTGGATGTCTCATGGGGAATGGTCATGGGATAGGGAGATGTTAACCTCTAGGGCACTGGCTCAAATTGGCCCAGGCTGAAGCACAAAGTCTGCTTTGTGGCCTATGGACAATTCACTAGTTGTTCCTGCCCTGAGTGGATAAATGTCATCAAACCACCTCCACAACTTGGCGCTAACTGCCCTTCTTGCTAGAAACCAAGAATCGAATGGGTGTGGAGACCAAACCATCCAGTCTCCTCTAGAAATGCCCCTGCCAGGTCTGGGCAGGTGCATAGTCCTGGTCTGGGAAAGTTTGTCCTGCTGCTAACTTGGAGGTTCCTGTTCTGTGGAAACAGGGCACTCCAGGCTAGCAATCATACATCTTTTCTTATCCACAAAATTCATATTAAAATGTTAGCAGAAACACAATCACACTGGTGTCCCTGAGATAATAGAAAGGAAAGAAGCATTACCGTCTTTAAAATTCATAGATTTTAAGGCCAGAAGGGTCTGTTATAACCATCTACTCTGACCTCCTGCATCACAAAGGCTAGAGAACCTCACCCAGTAATTTCCGCATCAGGCTCCTAACTTCTGTTTGATCTACAGCAGATCTTTTAGAAAGACAGCAAACCTTGAATTAAAGACTTCAAGTGATGGAGAATCCACCACGTCCGTAGGTAAATTGTTCCAATAGTTAATTATCATCACTGTTAAACATGTGCACATTATTTCTAGTCTGAATTTATCTAGCTTCAGCTCCTAACCACTGAATTTCATTATGCCTTTTTCTGCTAGATCAGTGGTTTCCAAACTAAGGGCGCGGCTTGTTCAGGGTAAGCCCCTGGTGGGCCGGGCCCGTTTGTTTACCTGCCGTGTCTGCAGGTTCGGCCGATCACAGCTTCCAGTGGCCGCAGTTCACCATTATCAGCCAATGGGAGCTGCAGGAAGTGGCGTGGGCTGAGGGACGTGCTGGCCACCCTTCCTGCAGCCCCCATTGGCCTGGAGCAGTGAACCGCGGCCAGTGGGAGCCACGATCGGCCGAACCTGCAGACGCGGCAGGTAAACAAACCAGCCCGGCCCACCAGGGGCTTACCCTGAAAAAAGCCGCGCCCCTAGTTTGGGAACCACTGTGCTAGATTAAAGAGCCAGCTACTATCAGAAATGTCTTCCCCATGTATGTTCTTGTAGATCATGATAAAAATCACCTCTTAACTTCCTCTTTGATAAACAAAACAGACTGGGTTTCTTAAGTCTCTCACTATAAGACATGTTTTCCAGACCTTAGATCATTCCTTTAGCTCTTTTCTGAATTCTTTCCAATTCCTGGACTGGATAAAGCTTCCCCTTCCAATAGGAAGTGAAGGCAGGATATTTTAAACCTGGTGGGAAATGATTAAAGACAAAATGGTTTCCTATAGAGGATAAATGAGCGCCTTACCCCATGGAGTTTCATGTACAATCCACAGGCATTGCAGACTGGCTCTCCTTCTGCATTCCGTCTCCAGAGGGTAGTATTGGTTGTGTGACAGTTAGTGCAACAAAGACCAGCACGTCTCGACGAAGACTAAAAAAACCCCACACACGTGAAAAAAAGAAAAGTAAGAGTTTGCATGCAGGGGGAAGAGGAAAAATCTCAAATTACACTGATTTCCTGGACAATGAAAAATGTTGACTAAATGCACAAGATAATAAAATTCACATCAAAGAAATAGCAATCCAGTGAGCTCACTTTGATTTGCAAACCTTCTTTTATGGAGCTTGATAAACCTGGCAAACATCCTTTTAATCCCTTCCACTAATGTTGAACAAATATGTTCCAAGAAATAATATTTCATAACATGGTGCAATAATTTCCAAGTGATCCACTCAGAGGGAGACGGATCTTATAAGAATTATTATCCATGTTTTGAAAGCAGAAATGTTGCAAACTCCATAGAAAAATGCTGTCGATTTAAATTAACTGTTAAAGTTAATGGGGGCCAGACTGATCTCTGGTGTAAATCATCAGTGGTGTTTGGGCTTGGGAGGGGTTCATAGAAAGAGAACGATCCTCTGCACTTCCTGCATCTCCCGCCTCTCATCTAAAGAGCCCAAAGCACTTTCCAAACACTAATTAATTCCAATTTTTGTGGGTGGCTTGACTGCAGGTCAGGTCCCAAAGCTAATGTTTCTTTAGCTGGAAGCAGAAACACTTTGTAGAAACAGCAGGCCTGTCTCTGTCAATTGTGTTCTCAGCTAGTGGGAAATTCAGAGCTCTCAACACAGGGTTTTAGCTTGTCAACTTATGGGCGTTTCATTGTAATGTCTCTTAGCGCTAGGCATTCCAGCTATTTGAACAGGAGACTTCAGTAAGTGTAAAGATATTGGTGCCATATTTAATATCATGGACTATTGCCACATTCAGGTGTTGGAGTGATATTCTTCAGCCTGGGGACAAAAATGTCAATTCATCGCGGAGATAGATGTTGGGTGATGCAAGTAACAAAGAATTCCACATCTGTTTTGTTTTTCCATTATTGCGTCCTATCATTACTAAGCATTGTGATAAATTGGGTAAAGGGAGACGGAATAAAAATGAAACGTTTTACAAGGTTAGTTGTTAAGTGCGGATCAGATTTGAGTTTCAGAAGACAGGGAGGGCAAAGTGACAGAACGCTCTTTGAGTCATTGGTTGCTAAGTGAAGCAGCTTCAGCAACTTGTTGCAGATCATTATATTCCTTTATACATTATTTATTTTTCAAAAAATAACCTGTCAAAACATAACCCTGAGATGCAAGCGGATTACTTTTGCACAGAAAAGAAGCTGATGATGTTCAAAATCTTTCCCTAGCAATTTCTGTCCTGAGCAAGAGGGATGGGGTCATGTTATACCTGGTATAGCTAGCCTGGGCAAAATCCTGCCCTCAGATATGCCTCCTTAACTCCTATTAGGCTCCATTTGCCTAGCTCACATCTTGTGTGGAGCTGAGTATCCTCAGCTAACTCAGCCAGAGAAGAAGGAGATCAGCACCTTGCAGAATTGGCACAACCCAGCCTGCAAACAGTCCCATAGTCTCTCCTGTCATCAGTAGTCCCATGGAAGCAGCACATACAGCACGCCAACAGGCCTACACACAGTAGTAAGGACCACGTCTGGTATTAAGGGAAGGGTTTACAAAGTGCTTGGTTTTGGCCTAGCTGTCCTCGCTGAAGACAGGGGGACTTCTATCACTGACTGGATGTAGAGTAAGGCCAGCGCTGAGAGCTTTGGAAAATTCCACCCTTAAGTGTTAGAAGGACCAGTACTACCTGAGGGGCTGGACCCACTGCCCAGGATGATCAAATAGGTCTCATGACATGAGGTCAGACTGAAAATTGGGCTCCTGACCACTGAATTCCAATACTAGGCATGGCACCAAAGTGGTCTTCCTATCTAGATACTTCTATAGCCTTCATCACCCTCGTATTTGAGGGCCTCAAATCACTAATGGATTTTATTCTCTCCCCACCACTGTGAGACAGGAAAGTGCTATTTCCACTAAACAAATGGGGAACTGGGGCACCGGATAGATTAAATGACTTCTCCAAAGTCAGACACAAAGAGTTTGTCTACACGGCATTCTAGTTCACACCATAAAGGTGTCAATTTTAGTCTGTGCTAGGGTATTGTGCACTAAATGGCTCGTGTAGACCCTACTGGTGCGCACTAACATTTCCCTGGTGCATGTTAATGTGCTCCCATTTCAAATGGTACTACATTAGTGTGCACCAGCGGGGTCCACCCAGGTACCCTAGCGCAGACTAAAAGTTACACCCTCTTGTGTGGACTAAAACACCATGTAGTAGACAAGTCTGAAGTCAGTGGTTGAGCTGGGAATATAAACCGCATCTCCTCAGTTCCAGTTCAATGCCTAACTCAGTGGAAAATCCTTCCTACTCTGTAATCTTTGCATCATCAGTCACCTAGCAGTTCTGTGACGGAAGAGTGGGTAATATGTAACTGACGGCATTTCAGAACCAACTATAAGATAGTTTAATAAATTGCTGTTTCAAACAAGTTTACAGACCATGGGGTCATCTCCTTCTCCTAGGGAAGTCACTGGGAGCATGATCAGGCCCAGGGTTACCAAAATACTGGGTCTAAAAAACTTTAAACATTCTCTGAAGTTGCCCATTGTGATTTAACTTTCCACTGCAGCAAGAAAGACACAGTCAAGGCTACTTTTGCTTACTGAAGGACAAAGGTACAAAATGTTATTGCTAATTTCCCAGCAGTTTACTTAAAAGAAAGAGCGTTCTTGCCCTTCCCCACCCCCAACCCAAGTCCACCATTGTAGCATTCTGACCTTGTCTAGGAAGTTGTTGACTTCAACATTGTACTCCAGTGTTTATTTATATAAATGTAGCGCACACTTAAACAAAAAGCCCTTCATGGGCTGCACTTGACAGCCAACTGCTGCTGATAAAGCTCTTGGAATCATTCGTCTGAGCATATTTAATAAAATGTATGCTAAAGTTAGCTACATGAAGGTCTGACAGAGCTACTGGCCCAAGAAACTCAGAATTAACAGAGGATGGTCCCTCTGTGGAGCTGTCTGAGTGTTTACAGAAAACCACAAAGCCATCAGAGACTCGGAACATGGAAATGGAAGCAGGGGAGTTTCATAGAAAATACCTTTGAACCCCAAAAACATAAAATCAAAACTCAGCAAAACTTGCTGCCACTTTAGACAGGCATGACTGTTGGGGAACGGGGTCATTAGACAGTTTGCTACAGGTGGGCAAATGGTGGGTCTTATTGGTCAAATGAACCTTTGTGAAACCTCTGAAATCTGGATCATTGAGATGTCTCATGAAACCATACAAACCCAGACACAAGGCAGAGTGTTGCAAAACACACAAGTTTGAAATCTGCTGATAAAAAACACTACATAAGAACTGGGGATTATTAATTTGAGTTCCTTTGCCATTCTAGCTCTGAATGAGCCTAAAACTCAAGGAGTGGGAAAACACAGGAACTGAAACTGATGAGACAGTTAATCAAAACACATCATACATTTTGCACAGATCTAGATACCCATCAGTTAACATGGTATTTAAGCTCAAACCCCAAGTCAAGGTCCCCAAAGGATGTTATAAGTGGAATTACCTACGCATGAAGAGTTAAATAATGGCTATAGTAACTCTTTTCTGAAATCTCTCTATCAAACGAACCTGCTTCCTCAGCTCAGAATGTGATTGGTGTTATTGATTTTCATGAGAACATTGTTCTTATTATAAGAACATTTTAATCATTTTAATTCCTTTTTTGTTCTTTGTTGGGGGTTTTTTTGCTAATAGTGCAATAACTTGCATGGAACATATCCATGCTCTACTGAAATTATTTCATGAGGTGCTGCAGTAACCAGGTGGTATTTTTCTGTGCCACATTTGCAGTGGAAAGTTCTATGTTTGCCTTACAAAAAAATTACAACCTCGGTAACTTGGACAATAGTTGATTCCTCAGAAAGGGCCCAATCTTACAATTGTGGACGTGAATAAGAACCAAGTTAAGAATAGAGCCAGCAGATAATTGATATTTTTGGTTTGGCAGCCAAACCAAAAGACTCTGAAAAATATTTTGTTTCATTTGACCCAAATCAATTCCCCCCCCCCCCATTTTTCCATTTTGTTTTGTTTCATTTTGGGTGTTTTTACCCTTTTAAAAAAAATCTAGCTACATTTCTAAACAAAATGTCATGTTTTATTTTGAAAATGTCAAAACAAAACAGTTTGACTTTTTCGGGGGGAAAATTCTCTGTTTCTTTTTTTGGGTGAAACTGTTCACCAGATTGGACTTGGATTTGCAAATAGTTTTGGTCGACCCGAAACTGCATTATGAAAGGCCTGCATCCAGCCTTTCTGCTGTGGGGTCTGACAGGTATCAGGTATTTGGCGTGTTCTCAGCATGCTGCCGGATTGTGCCCTGCTGGAGAGAAAGCTATTCCTCCACCTAGGCTGAGAATCCCGCTTCAGGCATTCCGGGGCTTCAGCTTGAGCCAGGGCTCCGAGCTGCTTGTTACCTGTGGGACAGGGTCACTTGTGCATTAGCTTAACTTTATACAGATGAGCAGTCCCATTAAAATCAATGGGACGACTCCCGTATGCACAGTTACATGTGCTTTCAGGATCAGGGCCTAACTTACTATTTTGTAAAGTGCTTCAAGATACCTTGACTATGAAAGATGCTCTATAAAACAAAATTCCATCCCAGCCCATCACTAAGTAATATAGCTTTCTATGGAAATCAATAGGGTTGCATTCTGTTCATGTCAAAGATAAAAAATATGTCGCAAAACTGCTGCCTATGCTACTTACAGGACATTGCCGTTATCATATAAAAGGGGCTAGTAACTGTATTATTCTTACTTACCGTATCTTCATATACATGACTACACTACTGTACACAGAACTGCTAAATACTGTTCCTGCTGCACTGGGCAGTCATATTGAAATCTCTAGTGCAAAATATGCCTTTTATTTTAATGCAACTTTGCATAGTAAAAGCAGCATATCCAGCAGGCAAAATAATACATAGTGAAATA